TTCAACATATTGTTGCTTTATCTACTACTGAGGCTGAGTATGTTGCTGCCACAGATGCGTTTAAAGAAGCCATTTGGCTTAAAGGTCTTTTATCTGAAATATGCTTGCTCGATAAGAATGTGGTTGTTTTTTCTGATAGTCAATCTGCCATTCAACTATGCAAAAATCCTGTTTTTCATGATAGAACAAAACATATTGATGTTAGGTTTCATTTTATTAGAGACATAGTTGAAAAGGGAATTGTCATGCTGGAGAAAATTCCTACAGAATCTAATCCAGCTGACATGGGTACTAAGTGTTTACCAATTGAAAAATTTACCTTATGTCAAAAGATTTTAAACCTATCTCTGTGATTGTGTGCTGATCTTTTGTTCCTTTTTTTGGTCTTTGTGACTTTTGCTTTTCTTTTGTTTTTTGAACTCGATGACCCAATGGTAGAGTTCGACTCTTCGTGAGTTATTTTTGGCTTGCTTTGTGATGTTGCCTAGTCTTCGTGACTTGAGAGTACTTAGTGAACTCTCCACCACTACGTGTGTTCTCATGTGTTGATTACACATTTAGTGGTTATTAGGCTATGATGAGTTCTGCGGTTCCTTGTCAAACTATGTGCACTACTTTGGGCCAAAGGTGGAGATTGTTAATTTATTTGGGTTGGCCCAAACATATTAATAATATTTGACACCCAACCCAGCAGCCCATTTACTCAAGCCCAATTTATACTCCTTAACCTAATTAAGCTTGCCTTAATTACCACCCTAATCTCCACTATAAATTGAGGCTTCCACCTTGAGTTATTTCATTGTGCAAAACTCCTTTATCTCTTTGTGAGACTTCCGTGTGGGTTTCTTTCTTCCTTTGTGAGTTGATCTCAGTTCTTCTCCGTTTCTTTGTGAGTGGAGTGTGGCGAGGTTGGGTTGGGGTGTTGCTCCTTTTGGTACCCTTGTAGTGCACAACTACGGACCGATTTTTACGGGTGACCTGAGCCTAATCGGAATAAATAAATACACACAACAACCTTCACGGTTCACAACGCCCATATCTACATATCTTCTACCAGACTTCCTCGACATTTTAATATTCATAGAAAATAAAAAAAATTAGAATATTATAATATTCTAAATTTCTAATATTAGTACTATAATATGTTTTTAGGTTATAAATGTACTAATATATTATAAATTAATATATTATAATATAGATATATAATATATGATTATAGTATATGAAAATATAAAATATATTAATATGAAACTAGAGAATTTAGAAAGATATTAGAGATTTTGAGAATTGAGAGAGAGAGAGAGAGAGAGAGAGAGAGAGAGAGAGAGAGAAAGAATAGAGAAATTAGAGATTGTGTTGTGAATTTTTTTAAAAAAATAAATAGGGTAATTGTAGGTTAAACCCCCCCACCCCCAAACCCCCCTGCCTCAAGTCCCCACCCAAAAACTATAGAGCTGTTCCACTGCTAAAGTGCCAGGGAGTGTCAGCTAGGGATGCAACGGTTGCCAAAAGATGCAAAAAAGTTACCAGGACCAGAACTAGCGGTCCCAGTCCCCAAAAATAAAACCCGGAATTGGACACGTGTCCATCGGTTTAAGGTCTGGTTCCCATACCCGTGTAGTCGTGTCTGTCTCAAGTCCGAGTCCAGCACTGCCGGCTCCGGCAGCAGTTCTTACCCATAATTGTGTCTAGTCCTAGGGTCCACTATTGTCCAAAGGAGCAAAGAAGATGTCTTCCTCTTTACACAAACAAGAGGAAAAAGTTCTCGCTCATTCAGCAGTTACCCACACCTCTCCCATCATTCTACGGTTTCTATTTTCACTCACCCACTTTCTTTCAAATGGTCTCTCCAATTAGACGCTATTTTCTCTCTAATAAGATGCAACTCATGCATGTGACCTCACTCAGGAGATGCCTAAAATATCGAAACACCAGTGACAAGTGATTGTTACCATTAGAATGTATTATGGTTTTGTGTTATCGAGCTCAATAGTATTGGGCACGTATTAGGTCATGGTCTTGTAGTTATTATAAGAGAAATGCTAGAGTCACAAACATTTCGGTCACAAAATACACAAACTTACCATTTATACATTTTAATGATTACTTTTAAATTATTCAACATCATTTTATTCATTCAATGAGGTGCATAAATGGTAAGTTTGTGTATGTTGTGACCAAAGTTTTTGTGACTCTAGCATTTCTCTTATTATAAATAGCTACACGGGTTTATGTTTAATGAAATCAAGCAATTCATTCTGTAAATTTTATATGTTATCTGAGCCAATCTATGAACCTCAACCCTAGCGTGCTCTAATCTTTTGCTTCTGCTATTGTCGTCACTGGTGGTTTGTCCGGCAACGACGGCATCACCATCTATTCCCTTTACCTTGTCTTCCCGTCTTTTTTTGCCATCCAAGATCTTGCCACAGGTTTGTTCGATAAACAAATTCTAGTGGCGATCTGTTCAATCCTAAACTCATTGGGTTTGCCCGATTTGTTCTGTTAAAAAATCCAACCAAAAGAGAGAATACAATCGTGCTTAGCGGTATTCAATTCAGGTTGTGACGCTAATTAATACATGGTGTTCTAGCATAGCCTTGTTAGCCGACGGTTATCTGAGTTAGGATGGCGTACATGGGTATTCATTTACGAGGTTGTCCGAGTCGTCCGACAGCCTCTCCAGTTGGTCGTTTGTCCTCACCTTGCCGGTGGATCATCATCCAACTACCATCATCAAAAGAGTTTCAAAGTTACGTGTTGTTCAAATATGCTTCAAGCTGTTCGGGCATAATTTTTTGGTCGTGTGGTTTTGTCTAGATCTAGCAACAATTATCCTCCGTAGTGGATCCCTTGTGGACATTAGATTTGTTTTGTTTGCAAGCCACCAAAGAGGTTTTCAAATTGAGTCTTTCGTTCACTAGTTTGATGATGTTTTTTAGGACATAGTTTTTGGTTGCCTTTTGGTATGTTCAATTGCAACCAGTCGTATGTATAACATGTCAGTTTATGGGGTCGGTCGTCGAACCTTAGTCCGGAAACATTCTGTCTATTTGTTAGTCGACCTGCGTGGGAGTCATTCATCATCAATTTTTAGTTGTCCATTTGCTTGGCCATGCATCTACGTCTGTTGCACCAGCAAATCAAGCCTGGTTTATTTTTCCTGTAGTTTTATTTATTTTTATAGTCCAAGTTGTTCATTCGCGATCCTCATTCTCAATTTGAGGGGAAGTATTAAAATGTATTAGGGTTTTGTGTTATCGAGCTCATTAGTATTGGACCCGTAGTTAGGTCATGGTCGTGTAGCTATTATAAATAGCTGATTTATGTTTAATGAATGTAAACATAAAGTGATGAAGAAGGAGTCTAGTGATGAGTCAAGTGAAACGGATGAAACATTTGATAACTCTAATTCATCAAGTGAAGAAGAAGACGAAGAAAGAGAAATGAGGAAGAAATATAAGAGTTTTCTCCAATGCAAATTTTATGAAGACTCAAGAAGGAGAAAATCAAAAGAGAAAAAAACATATTCAAAGCCAAAGAAAGAGCGGCATAAGCCAAGGTAAGTTTTTTTTCGGATAAGATATTTTGTTTGGTTTTAATTGTTTTCAAAAATAAAACCTTATCTCATGTGTGCTCTAAATTGTTTTTAGCCTTGGTTTTAATTTGCATGATTAAATAATTTTTCAAATTTCATTTTTAAAAAATCGTGCCTTTTAAATTATCCGCGAAAAACCATGAAAAATAAACTTTTAAAACATGCACTATTTTGGGGGAAGTTTTTTGTTTTATGGAGAGTTTTGTTGTAAATGCACCTTTTGCCCAATGATCTCCAAACTATCTTTTTTTCTTTCAAAAAATTCGTTTTGATAGGGGGGGGGGGGTTTCTAGGAATTATACATGTTGAAAATTTAAAATGTCCTTTTTTATTTTGACAAAAGGGAGAGAATATGTATACTTCAAAGTGGTGCATATGCAACATGACTTGAGTGCATTCTTGTGTGACTATTTGCTTCAAACTTAAACTTTTACTCCCTCCGTCCATGTATGATCTTCCCATTGCGCGTTACGAGGCTTGACCGACTCTATTTTCAATTCAATTTAATTGATTATAGGAGTAAAATTTTAAAATAAAATTTATATAGTAATAAACTACATGAAAAGTTCTACAAAACTAGAAGTGACAAGACTATATTATTTTATGAAATGACTAGTAAAATTGAGTAAACAAAGTGAGTAAAGTTTGACCCTGTGAATAGTAACTGGGAAGATCTATGGTGGACAGAGGGAGTAATAAACACAAGAAAAGTTCAAAGTGAGTATTTTCAATATGTTTATTCTTAGGGGGAGCTTGTTTGCTTTATTATTTTTACACCCGCCTAACTCACTTTGAAGTATATTGTTTGTCAACATCAAAAAGGTGGAGATTGTTAGCCTTGGTTTGCTAAGCCTTTTGTTTTGATGTTAACAAACAATACAAGAACTAAACCTTTGTTTAAGTGTTTCAAGTACATCAAGAATTCATTAAGATTCGGTTCTCAAAGAACAAAGTTGAAACACCAAACTAGCGTAGAATATAGGTAGAAATTAATGTAAAGAAATGAATTTATATACCTATATTCACAAGCTCAAATGCACTCACAGTATATGTTCTAAACCTTCTCATAATCATTTTCAAACATCCAAAAGGTTTTAAACAAAATTGGAAAAGATTTGGACAAAAATAAAAAAAATAAAAAAATGGTCAGCAGGTACCTAGGTACCGTACGAGGTACCGTAACTAGATATCGTACGGTACCTAGCGTGAGCATGATACCCACCTACCGGACGGTACCTAGGTACCGTGACAGGTACCATGACCGTTGGAGTACTATTCTTAATTGCAAAATTTGAATCAAATCAACCTCTATCGCCTTCCGATGGCTAATTAACCTAATCCTTCATATTTCTTGAATAAAAAAAGCTTCAAACATCCTATACTCATATTCTAAGTGTATTTTTTCTTTTACTCTTTATTTTAATACTTCGGCTATTTTGAGAGCCTAATTCTCTTGATTTTTTACACACACTTTGAGCTTGTGTTTCTAGTTATATACTCTTATGTTCATAAGTTTGTATTGTATTTTTAGAGAGCATAATTTCTTTCTACACCGGCTAAGTTTTGTTATTCATTTTTATATTCAATCTGTTGTGTAGAAACTTTGATTGTGTTCATCAAACACACATTTATACGGCCGAGAATAGCCGTTAAATTCTCACGTTGTAACGGTCGAGGATAGCCGTATAAATCCTTGGGTAGAAGGTTCAAGGATAGCATTGTAAATCCTTGGGGGGAACGGTTGAAGATAGCCGTGAAATCTTCATTGTCTATTGGCAAGGGTTGTTTTCCAAAACTAATGCGGTTCTTTGACGGAGTTCAAGAGACCGAGACTTAGGGGGTGTATTCAATATAGATTTTAAAAGATTATGATAGATTGTTTAAAATCCATGAATTCCGTAAAATCAATGGATTATTTTAAATCTACGCAGATTTAGATAGATTTTAATGTATTTTATGAACATGATTTTATAAGATTATGGAAGATTGTTTATAATCTATAAAGATTATGTTTTCCTTTTTTTCCTTTGGTTTTTCTTTTTTTCTTCTTTTTTCTTTTTTCCCTTTTTCCTCCCAAGAACCTCCGCCGCCATCTCCTTTCTTTCCTCTTCCCATTATGTTTTCCTTTCTGTTCTTTTCTTTTTCCTTTTTCTTCTCAGGAACCTGCCGCTGTTCTTTTTCCCTTTTTCCTCCTCGGCCATCTCTTACGCATCATGCTCTGGATTGACATCCTCTGTCGCAAACAAGGAAAAGAGCAGTTCGGCTGCAAAATTGCTGCAAAAGAGGAGGGCATCTCCGGCTGCAAAATCTTCGGCGAACAGAGAGAAGAGGGCCTCTTCGACTGCAAAATTGCTGCAAAATAGGTCCGGATTGACATCCTCCTCCGCGAGATCTTCCAGATCTACTGTCCGAATCGACATCTTCCTCCGCCTCAATTCCTTCCCGACATTGTTCACGGCGTAACGGGGAAACGTCTCGAGATGATAAAGGAGTCGATGAAGGAGTTGTCAAAATCCCTATCTTTGTCGTGAGAGTTGGGAGTGGATTTCTATGTATATCTAAGGGTAAAAATCCATCAAAATCTACATATTTTAAAATCTTTAAAAATCGATTACTTTTTGAATATCATTAAATTTAGAAAGATTTTTTAAAATCTGAATTGAATATATCTGGATTTTTAATGACTTTTTAACATCTGAATTGAATATCTACAAACTTTTAAAATCTAATAAAATACTACGCAATCCAGATTGAATACACCCCTATTAGTGGACTTGGAAATCCTTGAGGAGGAGCCTCGAGATACTGGAGTAAAAAGTTTCCGTACCAGTATAAAATCAGTGGGCATTTTATTTACGATTTTATTTCTGCGTTTTATATATTGCTTCCGCATTTGCCAACACCATTTTTATTAAACTCTGAAAAGTTTTCCAACGCATTATTCACTCCCCCCCCCTCTAAGGCGTGGGCACAACGAATAACATCTCCTGCCTCTACAGGTAAGGTGATGATACCCCCCGGTTCTATGGAGTCTTCGATGAACCCCGTCAAAAGAGTCTTGACTAGAAACAACTATTCCTGGGTTAACCCTAGGGCCTTGAATGTATCCATATACATGATGTTCATAGAACTTCCCATATCCACTAGTGTCTTGTGGATCAGTAAGTCCATGATATCAATAGTGATGACCCCATATGGATGGGGGACCCATGTCTCTGTCAAATCCGCATTTGAAAAGGTAATGGGTTCAATTTTTAACTTCTTATCTTCAGGTTGATGGGGAACTATGACCTTATTGATGGAGATTCCACTGGTCCATTTCTTCCGGCTAATGGCAGAGTCTCCACCTGTGTTCCCTCCAATGATATAATTACATTCATGGTGTTGTTTTTGCCGGTTCAGGGTCGGTTCTAAATCTTTCTTCCTCTTCATCCAAACTAATATTCCTCTTGCCCCGAAGCTCCACTTGTGCAACATGTCCTTCCTTTCGTCTCCACGTCTGGGAGTTCCCTAGGGCTTCCTCGCCGGGCTAATTCTGGATTAACATCTTGAGGTGTGCCCTCAGAATCAGCTTTGCCATTTCATTTTTCAAAGTGTAATTGTCCTCTGCATTGTGATCATTCTTACGGTGGTAGGCGCACCAGCTGCCGGTATCCTCCATGTTATATACTTTCTCTGAATACATGGGGTAGGTCATCAACCCCTGTTGTGCCGCATGCGTCATTACTTCCGCCACCAGTATGGTAAATACCGGGTTATGTGACTTGATTCCTCGAGAGGATCCAGCCAAACGACCCTTTTGCCCGTCCGAGATGCCCAGTTTCATCCCTTTGAAGGGCTTCTTTCCGTTCTGCCTGCTCTCCCCCACTTTCGAGGGTTTCTCTTTCTTCTCTTCCTTCTGTTCCTCCGTTCTGCCCTTCGGTGATCATCACCACGCGGTAGATGAGCCGAGGAACGCCTTAGTCTCCGGAAGGAGCCTAGAATGTGGGTGATAGCTAAGCCTAGCTACCATGTACGTACACAAGCCCTCCTGATGAAACTCGTTGGATCCCGAAGGTTCCTGGACGGGCCCGCAAAAGAAGCGCACTGGGCCTGACCTCTTGTCGCGGTATGTGAAACCCGTTGGATCCCGAGGGCTCCTAGACGGGCCCACGGAAGAGGCGCACTAGGCCTGACCTCTTGCCGCGGTATGCAAGCATGCCATGATCCTAAAACATGCATCTAGGATATACATGATGTTATGAATGCATTGCTATGATGAATGAAGTTCAACACATACATATACGTTTGATTCCATATGAAATGATTTGTACAAAATGATGGCTTGGGTTCAGAACCGGCTGATAATCGATTATCCCTTCGTCATAATCGATTATCACGCATTTCAGCTTCTTTTCCCAAAGTCTTGCAGCTTGTGATAATCGATTGTCATCTTCTGACAATCGATTGTCATGTTGTTTATCCGGAGAAATCCAAGTTCAGCGAGGCCTGTTAATCGATTATTATATTGTGATAATCAATTATCAGTGAAACTAAACTCTGACTTGAGAATTCGCAGGGCCTGATAATCGATTATCACATATGTGATAATCAATTATCACGCTATGCTGAATCAACTGAGGAGTCCAGCATGACCTGATAATCGATTGTCTGGTCCTATCAATCGATTGTGATCAGTACGTTGGAAGTTTTTGAAATGAACGTTTATGTTTACATGTTAAGTAATTTATGAATTTACGAGGTTTCAAAAACGTGCTTATCAACGAGTACATAACCGAAAGGTCCAAATAACGAAGAGTCATGATAACGTGGACACACATATGTTTAGCCGGGTAATCCTATGGATATAACCATATGATTGAACTGCGAATTCTAAAGTTAGTGGGCAACGTACTCACCTCTAAATGAAGGGGTTGATGAATGGAAAACGAGATGAATGGACGTACGACTAACGATCGGCTTTTCGCATAAGCTTCCTTCTCTTCCACCTCCTCGTCTACTCGTCGGAATCCCTCCTTGAGCTATTATGGGTTGGCAGGAAATGCACCAAAGGTAGAGGGAAGGGAGTGGGAGTTACAAAATGTGAGGGAGGTGAAGGAAATGAAGAGGGAGTTTATATATATAATGATGGTGGAGTAATGAGTGTTAATGGTGAATTAAAATGGGGAAAATGAATGGTGGGGAGTTATGGGAGATGAAGAGTATGGCGTGTGGAGAGGGAAGGGAGTTACTTCCCACAATTTCACTCTGTTGTGTAAAATCTGTCCCGAACGGTACGCGCTTTTCCCCCCAAACTGATCCAAATCGAGAACTGGTTGCGTTTTCGGAAATAACCAGTCAAAACTAAATTTATGATATCTTCAAAATATTTTTCTTAAAACTTTATTTTCGAACTTCCGGATTCATCCCAAACATTAATTTATTTATTTAATTAATGTCGAGAGACCCGTTATTGAAACATATTTTATAATTAAAATACATTAACTTTGGAAGTCCATTTAATGAGATCGAAATCTCAATATTTATTATTTAAAATAATGAGTCTCACTAAATAACTAATATTTATTCCTTCAAAATACTGGCTAGCTAATAGGCCGGTTTGTAGGGCGTTACAATTATCTCCCCTTTAAAGGAATTTCGTCCCCAAAATTCTCCTCAAGTCACACCTCACGTGTTTAGGAAGATAGTGCACTACCCAAAACTTCGTTTTACGGAGCACACAAGGGCATAATAGATTTAAGAGCAATTGACTGATTTTGTTCAAGGAACTTATTTGGTTCAGACAAGTGGGACAAAACGTTGCATCGATGACATCCTCGACAATGCCATAAGTTAGCAGGTAACCCACTCGTCTAGTCGGGCTGAGTCCACTCGAGGAACTTCCACACCTGCGCCGCAGATACTGTTGGCAGAGTCCATGTTGAACGTTTCCTCTGGATCATCTCTTTCCCATACATTAACTTTGGAAGTCCATTTAATGAGATCGAAATCTCAATATTTATTATTTAAAATAATGAGTCTCACTAAATAACTAATATTTATTTATTCAAAATACTGGCTAGCTAATAGGCCGGTTTGTAGGGTGTTACACGGGCTCTATTCCAGTTGGATCACGGAATCACATTTGGGCCCCATTGGGCTTGCTCCAAGGTCCCGATATCCATCATTTCCTTTTTGAAATGTCCTAAAGTAATCTTTCTCTTTTCTTTTTGGAAAGTTTTTTGTGACTGACATTTTTTTCTCTCATCTGCATCACTCTCAACCATACAATTTTACTTTTTTTAAATTTCGTGCAAAGTCAACTAGAAATTTTAATTTGAAACAAAAGGAGTATATCAATACAAAATGGATAAAATATATTTCAATGACTTTGTTTAGATGTATTAGTAATTTTAATTAAAAAATGTTTTGGTGAAAGCCAAAAAAATTAAAGAAGAAGAGTCTCACTGGGGTGGGGAGTAATATTATTTCAACGAACAATGTCAAGGGAAATTTAAAATTCTACTCCCCCGTCCTACAAAATCTTTCTCTTTTCTTTTTTCATTCGTCCCAAAAAAAATTTCTTATATCTATTAAAAAGTTACTTTAATTTTACCCCTACTAATTTCTAACCTACTTATCACATCACACTTTTTCACTATATATTAATCTACCCATCACATTTACTTTTATCCATCACATCCAATGGCATTTTTAAAAAATCAATACCAAAATATATTTTCTTTAAATCCTTTAAAAGTCAAAACCTGAAAGGTTTCGTGGGACGGAGAGAGTATATTACTTTTGTTTTTATTAACATGGTTTGCTTAACATGGTTTTCCATCGTGAAATTGCTCTAAATAGGACTAAAATATAGAAAAAGTACCAAAATATGAGTTTAATATTTTTATTTTCGAAATAGGAGGAGTTCGCACTGTGATAATGTGATGATAATCAGACACTATACATGTGCACATTACTATATTTTTTGGTGATATACATGATCGTGTTTGGTAATGTAATTTCTATTTCGTGAATAAAAACATAGAAATCATGTTTTGGTATATTTTCAATATTTTACTTCTACCTTTGTCTTTTACCCTTTTCCATTAAATTCTTCACTTTTTTTAGCTTCGGAATTGATGAAATAAAGAAAATAGATTTCTAAACTCTCTTTTTTTAATTAATGAAGTATCAATTAGTCTATCAATACAACTTTCGGCTTTGAGATGTGGCCATCTTTGAAAATAGTTGCTCTACTTTCGAATAAAGACAAAGTCTGCGTATACATACCTTCTCCAGACCTACTCTTGTAGGATTCAACTGATTAGTCGTTTGCTTAACACGGGCAATCAGGTGAGGCAAGTTTTCTAGTAGATCATATATAGTTCTATTTTGAACTTTTTTTGAATGATTCTTTTTTTACTTTTTAACAATTGCAATTGATTAAATAAATAAGACAATCTTCCATGAACTTAGGGTCCAATATTCATTAATGAATTTAATGTATTTGTAGTGTAATAGAATCAGACATTTTATAAATCAAAAAATATTCATATACAAGCACACAAATAATACTATCTCCGTCCCTAAAAACATGGAATGTGATTTTTAAAGGATTTAAGAAAGGTATATTTTAGTACTCGTATTTAATTTCCAAAAATATCCTTGAATGTAATAAGTAAAAATAAGATTTGATAAGTAAATTAAAAATAAATAGATGTGATAAGTAGATTAAATATTAGTAGAGGTAAAATTAATTTTTTAATAAAAATGAAAAAACATTTGGACCAAATGAAAAAAGAAAAAGAAAAATTTTCAAAAACGGAGAAAGTAAATAAAATGAACATTATAAATGTAACATCACTCAAATAACAATAAACGTGCAAAGAAAAAGAATACAAATTGAAAGCAAAATGAGGAATACAAAGAGTTGATTTTACCTTGACATATTGGATATTATTCGTTCAAATGTTAAACATTGACACCAAATGTATACTCGGAGTTAGTTTTATATATATATATATATATATATATATATATATATATATATATATATATACATACATACATACATACATACATACATATATATACACACATACATACATACATACATATATATACACACACATATATACATACTGTTGGAATATTAAAAATTTTGGGTTTGAGATTTTGATATGGTAAATTGGAGAAAAACAACAATCATTTTTTTTTGAGAAGATAGGATGATCTGAGAGAGTTTATGAGGAGTTGGATTTTTTTGTGAAGAACCATGAAGATGACAAGAGAGAAGTTCCTCCTTTGATAGTTTTTTTTGTATGATTTCAACAAGGGTTTTTTTTCTTCTTTTTTTTCATTTGAGTGGAGAAGTTGATTTGAGGATAAAGAAGGAAAAGAAAATAGAGGTGAATAGGGTAGAGCCACCGTCGCCAAAATTACCGGCGGCGGCGGTGGGAGCAAAGATCTTTTTTTAGGTCACCAAGAGCGGTGACTCCGATACCATGTTGGAATATTACTAATTCTAATATTTCAACATGTTAAAATATTGAAATAATAATATTGCTCATTTAATTATGGAATACATGATAGAGTATATATAGGAGAGATTCCTAACACAACTAGGAATAGAGAATGGAAACTAACTAACATACAACATCTACTACAAATAGGATTAGAAAGCTGACTAATAATGAAACACTACCATAACCAATACTACAAGAAGTACTATTAGTATTATTGTCTAACACATACATACACATATACATACACACACATGTGTGTATGTATATGTGTGTGTGTATGTATATATATATATATATATATATATATAAAAAAAAAAGAGCCCTAATGCGTGATTTTTTAAAAGAAAACTTGGAATACACGAGTAATATTTTGGCAAAAGAAAAAACAAAGCAAGGCAATAACGTAATTGAAAATTTTGGTTACGGAGTAATAGAGAAACTAGGAAGGCAGCAGTGGGCTCCAGTTCAGCATGACTTCAGGGTTCATCCATGGCGGTTCAAACCAAGCGAACACTCTAAAAAAGGCTAATATCACAACATAGTTAAAAGAAAAGAGAAAAACATTAATTCAGACAAAGACCCGCCAAGCCCATGTTTCCATTTCACCCTGGATGTCCAACCAACCCAGGTTGACACTAAAACACAGGCCATGGCAATGGCCGCTCTAGCTAACTAGGCAACTACTAGTAGAAAGAGTACTCTAAACTAGCTAATAACACACACAGATTCCAATCCTTATATAGCAGCCAACGGACGGCCCATCAGGTTGCCCACGGTCTGTGGCTCCGAACCTCCCGGCATGCCATTTCGGGGCGGGGAGAATGCCACCGGCAGATAGTCCGCCGTGCCGCAGATAAAGTTTGATTTCTCAAAATGTTTAACCAGCTCCTCCTTACCCTGCAACTCATTCATCCAAACACCACACATAACATTAATGGCTGGAATTAATCCAAATATAGCCCAAGGAAAGAATTAAATTGATTAAGAAGTTTGTTAACCTGGATTCGTGCCCAGGTGATTTCACAGATCTTTCTGGAATTGAAGATGCCAGACCCAATCTTCACTTCACCCCACTGGTAAAACCTCAGAAGCTCGCGTATCTTGGCAGCTCCCGCGGCCGTTGTGAAGTTCACAAAGGCATAGCCAACATTGTTCTTCGTCCTAGATTGATTAATGTCGCCACAGACACACAAATCAGAGACCCAAGAACATAACGAAGTCAAACAAAAGGAAACATGTGAATAGAGACGCACTTGAAGTCAATGGGGAGGTAGAGAAAGTCATAGGAGAGGTGGCTCTCGGCGCAGTGCTTGTCGATGAAGGCCATGAAACTGTCCCGCCTGAGCAATGAATAAAAATCAAAAAGGCTTTCAATTTGTGGGTTTATTTCATCATTACTATTACATTATGAATGAATGAATGAATGAATGTGAATATATGGAGGGCTGGATAAATTAAACATGAGCAATAATAAATGCTATGCGGCCAAAATATTAAAATAAAATAAATGCACATTTTACACATTAAATATAAATAGAGAACATGACAAAACTTATTTACTTCTGATGCTTTGGAATAGGGACAGACAGTGAAGAGAAAGTGCAATAACTTCCCTTTTTTGTGCCTTTTCAAAGGCTACACAACAAAAAGGACTGAAATGGACTTCCACACATGGGAATGGGAATGACCCTTGGACTAATTTAATTTATTACCTTATGCTATATGCTTCAGTACTTTGCACAGGAATGGATTGTTTTTTGGGAAGAAAAATGCATGGTACAAAAGAATTAAAATATGTTGCTGATTATAATATTTTTCAATTGGATCTGAAATGAAAACTCCATTTTCATAATGGGATCTACTGTATTTTTTTTTTCTTTTTTTTCTTTTTTTTTTTGCTGAAAATACATTCATTAAACAAGTAGAAAGGTTGAATATAGGAGTACCGGTATTGGTTCGGGACGTTCTTGATCATCACCGTAGTCTTCCCCGTCGCCGGGGACAGCGATTCATCGACGACGCCGCCGGTTGCCCTGCCGGAGGCCTTGACGGGTCTCCAAATCTTGCCTTCAACCTTCCCACTAATGTCTAGATTTCTCAGCTTCTCCTGCAACCTCGGCGGCAAGACAAAGGCCTTGAGGTTCTTTTTCTTCTTCGAGAATGCCCGCGCCGCCTCTTTACGGACGGCCACAACGCCGCCGGTGAAATACCCGAAGCAGGGAGTGCGTTGGATGACCCCGACAGTGCGCGGGGTGCAGAAACCGTGCGCGGTCCTCGCCGCCGCCTGCGGCGGACATCCGAGATTCCGATGAAGGATGTTCGGCATGTATGGTCGGGAGGTGACAGGGAAATATTCCTTGGCAGCGGGGTTCAATTTCGACATTGTTGTACGGAAGGGAAGGAAAAGCGAGAGAGAAGGTTGAAGAAGAGACTTGGGACAAGATATTGGAGAGGACTAAAGAGTAATCCGTATCCCAGTATCGGTTCCCTTCTCCATTGACACAGCAGAGAAATAGAAAAGGAACGAATAGAATGGGTCCCACACTGGTGCCCAAAAAAGAGGGCGTTCTTGGGATTTCTTACTTCTATGTCCTAATCCCAAATTTTCAATTACTATATTAGAGCACTGGAAATACCAATTACTATATTAGAGCCAAAATTCGTCCGTTGGAGCCCCCCAAACCGCCTCCTTTCCCGTTATCACACCGTGTACTTTTTTTATTCAATGAATGTAATTTCTTTTATCAATCAATGTATTTTTTTATTTAATGAATTTAATTTTTTTATTTTATGAATGTAATTTTTTATTTAATGAATCTAATTTTTTTAAATGAATGAATGTATTTTTTTAATTAATGAATGTATATGTTGTTCATGAATGTAATTTTTTTAATGAATAAAAATAAATAATTAAATTTTATTATTTTAATTTTAGAAGATATGCACTTAAAATGTAGAAAATGAAGGTTTGAAGTCCCGCTTTGAAGTCTCAGGGCTCAAACCAATTTCCAATGAATTGGTGAGATAAGTTAAAGCTGATCTGGTAGAGAGACAAAGTTTGAAACTCCGGAGCTTCAAGAACATTTCCAGTACTCTTACACGAGAGGGAAAAAATTGAGAACCCACACACTCGTTGTGCTATACATGGGGCCGAAAGATTTTTTTGTTCTCAAATTTCTCATCAAAAAAATGTAACACATAAGATCTATTTCCTTGAGAGAAATATATATCAAAAAAAAATTTAATTTCATACATTTGGCTATATAAATGATAAGAATATTTTTTGAAGACAATTATTTTCAACTAAGAAAGGGAGAAATTAATTTTAGTTTGCTTTGGACGAAAGTCTATTTTCTCACTCACACCTCGATTCCTCTAGTTTCGTTACCCT